AGGAAAAAACTTCAAGATTGTATGACTTCTGTTCTTCGTTTGTTCGCGTGACTGATATTTTTCGTGAATCGAAAGGGAGGTTTTTTTTTAGTTGGTTAAGTAAAGAAATCACAGAACAGTTTCATCTAATGAGAGTAATTGTCCTCTTAGGCTGACAAAAGACAAACAAGATTCTGAAGAATATTGAGACGTTCGATAAACGTTGTGTTTTTGAAGTCATTAATGACTTAACACGACACGCCCAAAAAGTTTCGTGAGGAGAAGTCAAAATCAAACCCAGAAAGTTTCTCGATCTAATTAAAATGAAAACTGTTAAGATATGTTACGATATGTTGACAACTTGCCTTATTTGGTTATTTGCCTCATAAAATAAGCAGTGATTTTATTGCTTACAGAACGGCCTCCAACATGGCATGTTGAGTTTTTTTGCAATACAGAACAACAAGATATAGAAATCAAACCGTTTTCAAAAACATGTTGAGGAAATCAAACATTTACAAGAGCAGCGAGAGATGTAAAAGCAACGAACGTAGACAAACAGAGACACTTCGAAATAAGCAAGAGAGGATAACCCGGCCTCTTTTAGCATCCAGCAAAATCTTCCCTCAATATATCTAGGCACAGAGACCGCCGGTCACCTGCAAAAACACTCCTCTATCGTCTAATAAAACCCAAGAGAAATTTAAAAAATTTTAGACGAGCAATGCTTCAGTATGTCACCCCGAGTACAATGATTTCTCGTTCACTTCTTTCTAGAGGAATATCATGATAAAAAATTAAGTATGTTGAACTAATTACAACATTCCTTCCGCAGGACTCCTAGGTCTGAAGTGTTTTACGTGATGGCGTTTTCAAGAACTTTTCACATTACAACTTCGATGATAGCGATTCTGTGTCAAACGATCCATGCAGCTTCACCTGAACCCTGTGGAAGCGAACAATCGATCAACGGGATGATGCTTAAAGGACATGTTTTTCAGACCATCAAGGCTTCCCACTCAGCTTTGCTCGCATTGGATTGTCTGACAGCGTGCAACAATGACATAAGATGTCAAAGCTTCAACTATGTTATCTCCCTGAGCATATGCGAACTAAACAACCGCACGAAAGAAGCCAAACCTGACAACTTTGTTCCCAACCCTGAAAGATATTATTTCAAAAGATATAAAGGCAGAGGTAAAATATACTGCATGTTTAGACCCACTAGGTCACCGTGTGTTGAATGACCATGATACTACGTCAATACTTTGCACAAATTTAAAAGCAGTCAACCGCAATTTTGATAGCTCGAAGGGAGCAACTGAAATTATAAGAAAATTACTCACTTTATTTTTTCTACACAAATACATGATAATGACCTACGCAGTTTAAATGTTTATCTACATAGATTCCTTACTATGGCATCTGAGGGAGAGTTGAGAAAAATGGCATGATTGCAGCTGACCCTTCAACTCCCAAGATCCCACTAGTAATTCTCCTTGCTGTCTCTCATACAGTTATTTTAATTTTTTATCTTTTTTCAACAAAAGCCGTTAAGAAGAATTAGTGTTCCCTTTTAATAGGACGATTAATTTCGATTTCTATTTAAATAACAGAGTGAAATTATCTCCTTTATCTAAAAGCAGTCATAAGAGCGTTCTTACTTTAGCAAATTCCAATTATTCCTCCAGCACAGATCAGTTTGCTCAAAGGATAGACGGTATAGGAGTGGTAAAATCTACACGTCAATGATCTATAAAATAGTCTGGCGCTTGCACGAAGGAGTATTGCTCTAATCTCTCTTACAAATCAATTTTTTTCTTCTTATCAGTCGCACTTGGTTCTATACCGGAACTACCTGCGGACTCTTGTTGGGAAATAAAGGTTACAGAAGGAGAAAAAGCCGTTAGTGGTGAATATTGGTTCAATTCTATTATACCCTCTAAGAGCATACTCGCTTACTGCGACATGGATACTCTTGGTAAGTGGAGGACGCTGTCAGATAATGAAAAAGTAAGGGTTATGGGTTACCCTAAGATAGCAATAATCGTACTAAATGGTGAGTACCAGCGTGGTAGAGGTATAGGCTTAGGCGTGGTTTATTCCTTCAGTGTAATTTAACAAGGGTTTCTGTATCCCTCCGTTAAATAGCCTAAATGGTACGAAATATTTGAAGAAAAACACAATCACACGTACAAATCAACGAGCAAAAAAAGCAAGTACGATAAGGTGTACTGATCTCTCTCACCTGTGATTAAAATCTTGTCGAGATAACATGATTTTTTTGACGATAACTGAACTCAACTCAAATGGCAATTCTCGGATGACTACTACACCGTGGCGTTCTTTATTAAAGTAGATTGTACATTAGTTGAAACTTGGGTTTTATTCTCGAATAAGACGTTCACGTACCCAACTAATCCATGGAATTCGTTTGATTGTTGCAGTCTATTCACAAAACTACTATTCCAGTCTGAATCGCCACAGGTGCCGTAACGGCTACCGGCTGTGTATATTAAATATTTTGGCCATGTACTGATCTGGCCCTTGTTTCATTCCTTAGATATAGACGAGTGCAGTGCCTCCAAAAATGTCTGTGATGTAAATGCAGTTTGCACAAACACGGAAGGTTCTTACTCTTGTTCCTGTAAACCTGGATTTACTGGGAATGGAAAGCACTGCAGTGGTAAGAATTCGACTAACAAGGAGCTAGTACGTTGATATATAGTAAAATACACTTTCATACAGACCTAATATCCTTCTACTTATTTTGTTCTATATCTTTATATAAAGAACACGGCACCATTTCGAGTATTTATACAAGTGTAAAGCTTTATACCAAAAATGTGAAAATGTTTTATGAACGCTCGAAGGCATGCCCTTAGGTGATAAGAA